GGCCCCTTTTCTGACAAGGAACGCTTAGGCGAGAGCTCCAGTTTGAAAGACCCCCCGTGACTGGTGCGAGTTTCAAGCTCGAAGGCCATGAGTGGTGCGGAAGTCTCAGGCGAAACGCCTGGCCCGCCCTACCCACACGTGTGGCGGTGCGACACGGGCGATTTTTCGAGAAGGAACAGGTATGGAGGAGGAGGAGGAGGCCCATACGTATCTTTTGCTGTGAGGGCCTCTTGGAGCACGCTTAGAGTCATCTTGAGACCCTTTTGGGGTTTTCTTGGGCCCTCTCGAGCGTTCTCGGGTCCATCTTGATACTCTCATGAGGTGGGTCTCAGGGCCCTCTTGAGGTTCTTCGGGGGGTATCGGGGCGATCTTGGGCCCCATGTCTCGAGAAGATGGGTTCTGATTCGCCATTCCCCCCCCCCCGGAGGCTGAACAATGCTTCTTGGGGCCCTCTTGGGGCGCTCTTGGAGGCCTCCTGGGGGCCTGTTAGGCCTTCTCTGGGTCCGTCTGGGCTCTTCTTGGGGCTCTCTGGGGCCACCTTAAGGCCTCAGAGGTCAATCGAAGACGAAACGGCAATCAGGCAAACAGCATTGATTTCCAATTTGTTTGGGTCAAGTTTAACTCCTTGGGAGTTTCTTTGGAGCTGTGTGAGCAACTGGAGACGTCTTTTGGGGGTCCCTTGGGGGGCTCCAGGAGCACTTAGACTGAGTCGACTTGTGGCAGTCTTGGGGCCTCTCGGAGGAATGTCCGAGGCTATTATGAATCATCTTCGGCTAGCTGGAACCATCTTGCAGCATCAGAGGCCATCTTGGAGGCATCTCGGGCCGTCTTGTACGCTCTGACTCCTCCGTGCCCCCACTGTCCAGACCCAGGGGAGGGAGGGGATGCAGAGGGAGGGGTACCCCCCTGGCCACATGGGGGAAGACGGTGTTTTGGTATACGGAGGAGTGCTCTCGTCATACCATTTGCGCCCAGAGGACTGGTCGGATTGGACGGCTCGGCTCAGAGAGTCCTCAAGGAGTTCTGAAGGATTTCGGTCCGGCCGCGCCCCTGCAGACTTCGCCCCGCAACCGGGTCGGCTCTAGGAGGGGCCCCCCTTTTTGCCCCCTCACCCTCTGCGCTTGTGCGCGCTTCCAGGCTCTGCACGGGAGCCTCCCTACATGCCCGCGCCCGGCGCCCCCCTCGATGCCGCCACCCCCTCTCCGCTGGACCCTCCTCGCAACGGACTTCACGGGGAGGGACAACAAATATCGGGTTGGAGGCTTCTCCGCCTCCTCCTGCTGCGAACGACCATCGGGACCAAGTGTCTCCGTGTCTGATCTTGCATCACGACCACACGTGCAACAGGAGGAGGGGGGAAGAGGGGAAAGAGGAGGCCATCCTCGACGGTAATCTCTGTGTTGACCTCTCCTCCTCGTCCTTCTCTTCACAGAAAAAAAAACGGCACACACACATGAACTTCTGGTGGTCTGCGCGGATTTCTTGGACCTGCGCTGGAACCCATTTGCGGCGCCTCAGGCGCGCCCCGCGGGCCAGGGAGGGGGGTTCAGCGCCGATCTAAGAAAACCGCGCGGACCTTCGAAAGTTTACGTTCACAGCGGGAACCCTTGCCAAGAAACACCATTCTGCCCTGGGCCTCTTTGCTTTCGATTGCTTTGCGATGGACAACGTGACGTTCCCGCACCAAAGTTCAATGGACGTCCTGGGGCCTCAGGGTTGGGTTTCTTGTGGAAGGTTCCGTGTGGTCCAGCTCCTACTGTATGACGGTTTTTCTTCCTCTGCTGCCGGGCCAGACGAAAGGGGGGTTGTCGGGGGTGGGCCACAACCCCCTTAACACGTCGATTAGTGAATTGTCCGTTTTCGGTTTTCGAGAGGGCCCCGCCCGCGGCCGTCATTCTCCAGGCTTGCGCCCGCCAGGTTTGGGCCCGAGGGCGTATTCACTAAACCACCTTTTGTTAAAGGGGGTTCTGTCCATCCCTGAGATTGGGAGCGGGGTGGTGTACGAAATCTGCTGCATGCAGCTGCCCGCGGCCCCGCCGCCGGCCCCCCTCCTCGATCCCTGGGCGCCTGCCAGGCGCCAAGAGGCGTCAGGAGATCCAGCTGCAGGCGCTGATTCTCTACCCTTACCTGTACTATCCTACCCTTTCGCCCCCCCCATACCCTTTCATTGCCCTACCCTTTACTATCCGACCCTACCCTTTGCTATCCTACCGAAGGGGAGGGGGCCGAGCAATCCCCTCGGGAGCGGCGCGCCCGGCCAGGCCCTCACGGTGGTCCTTCGCAGCATGATGCCCCCCTCCACGGGCTCTCAGCAGGTGCGAGGACCGCCGCCCGAGGCGCTCATCGACCCGGGGGCCCTGGTGTGGTCTGAGGAGGAATACATGTCCGGGCCGCAGGACGCGAGGGAGGAGGAGGAGGGGGAGGAGGAGGAGGAGGAGGAGGAGGAGGAGGAGGAGGAGGAGGAGGAGGAGGAGGAGAAGGAGGAGGCGGAGGAGGAGGAGGAGGAGGGGGAGGAGGGGGTAAGGAGGAGGAGGAGGAAAAGGAGGAGGAGGCGGAGGAAGAGGAGGAGGAGGGGAAGGAGGAGGAGGAGGAGGCGGAGGAGGAGGAGGGGGAGGGTGACATACATCCTCCCTCTGCGCTTCCTCTTTATCGGCCCCGGTAACCTTGGGAATTGTCACGTGGGGGGGGGGGGGGCAACCCTGCGAAAACCCGGACGAGTGCCAACACCATTCTCGCGGTTCCAACGCCACAGGTTAACTTGACTGTAACGTTTTCCTAGATCGTTCCAGAACACTAATCCTGGAACTTCGACGCCGCGACTCAACGTAATATTTTTGCGCCCTGACAGGTCTGAATCGTTCCAAAAGGCCGTTTCTGGTTTGTTCTGTTGATTCCGAAAATTAGCGAAACTCTTGCGAATGTTTTAAGCGAGTGTGCGCGGCGCTAGGGCGAGAGCCACATTTTGCAAGTTCTAAAACGAATGTGCGCGGCGCTACGGCGATAGGCACATATTCAAAACGACACGCCCTCACTCCGCGAAGCTCTTGCAACTTTGAGAACAAAAGAATTTGCGCGGTGCCAAGGCGAGAGCCACATTTTGAAAACAACCTGTCCTCAATCCGCCGAACTCTGGCAAGTTTGTTTAACGTGTGCGCGGCGAGAGCCACACGTTGAAACCCACCCGCCCTCAATCCGTGCAACCCTTGCACATGTGTAAAACGAATGTGCGCGGCGCTATGGCGAGAGCCACAAGTTGTGTAAAATGACCCGCCCTCATCTGGTGAAACTTCTTTGCAAATGTTGCAAACGATGTGCGCGGCGTTATGGCGAGAGCCACATGTTGAAAACGTGTCGTCCTGAATCCGTAGAACTCTTGCAGGTTTGTTAAACGAATGAGCGCGGCGTTGAGGCCCAGAGCCACATGTTGAAAACGACCCGCCCTGAATCCGCAAAGCTTTTTCAAATTTGTCAAACGATGGCGCGCGACGCTAAGGCGAGAGCCACAGTTTGAAAACGACCCGCCCTCAATCCGTGAAGCTGTTGAACATGTTCACAACGAATGTGCGCGGCGCTTCGGCGAGAGCCACATTTTGAAAACCACCCGCCCTCCATCCGTCGTCCGCCCGCACTTTCGACCGGCTTCGGGTTGCGACGGAGAGGAGGAGGAAGAGGAGGAGGAGGGGAGGAGGAGGAGGAGGAGGAGGAGGAAAACGATGAGGAGGAGGCGAGGAAGCGAAACAGCTGATACAGGGACGCACGAGGAGAACATGGGGGCGGGAAGCGGGGGACAGGCGGAGGAGGAGGAGGAGGAGGACATCGCGCGACGGACGGGCATGGGATGTCGAGATGATCTAGTCGGGGAAACGTAAGACTCGAGTTCGCCGGAGCTCGGGGCTCGCCGCTGCTTTCTGACGGGCCTGTACTGGCTTTTGACGGTCCAGTTTTCGTGGGATGTGTGCAGCGTGAGCTCGGGTCAAGCTTCAGACTCGTTCTCGTCATTTTCTCGACGGCCCCGTCAGGCCAGCCCGAGTCCTCCGAACCCGCGCGGAAGGAGGGCGCGAGGGGGAGGAGGAGGAGGAGGAGGAGGAGGAGGAGGAGGAGGAGGAGGAGGAGGAGGAGGAGGAGGAGGAGGAAGAGGAGGAGGAGGAGGAGGAGGAGGAGGAGGAGGAGGAGGAGGAGGAGGAGGAGAGGGAGGAGGAGAGGGAGGATGAGGAGGAGGAGGAGGAGGAGGAGGAGGTCACCCGCAAGTGCGCGAAGATATCCGCGCGCGTCTGGCGCTGCGGCCGCAGCGGCGGGGCCCTTCTTATCCAGGACTCCCCGGCGGCTTCGTGGAAAGGCGAAAACGACCCATCGCGTCGCGCATCGCCGCGGGGCGCGTCCACCGAAGCCGGGCGACCTGGGGTAGGTGGTCGGTCGGACCCGACATGTAGGGCTTGTTTCGATTCCTCCGATTCTATTCGATTCAATTTCGATGGCTTCCGATTCGATTCGACTTCGGATTCCGATTTGGACTCCGATTCCTTAATGGGAGCAAATATTGAATCGCTTCGCTCATTCCGCCGGCCCATAGTGTAGCGTCGCTGGCACTTGCTTGCGTGCTCGGGGGGGCATTTGGGTGGCCTCCTGGGGCCGCTTGGGGGCCTCTTGGGGGCCTCCTGAGGGCCTGTTGGGGGCCTCTTGGGGCCTCTTAGGGGCCTCTTGGGGCCTCCTGGGGACTTCTGAGGGCCGAGGGCTCGAAATATTGTTTCGTGTTCCCCCCCTGGGGTCCCTCTTGGGGCGTTCTTGGGGCCCTCTTGGGCCGTCTTGGAGGCCTCTTGGGCCGTCTTGGAGCCCTCTTGGGCCGTCTTGGGGCCCTCTTGGGGGCCTCTTGGGCCCTCTTGGGGCGGTCTTGGGGGCCTCTTGGGCCGTCTTGGGGTGTCGTGAAGCCGAAAAGGTGGAAACGCCAAAATCTCTCCAAAACCTAAGGAAAAGCAGTTAATTTTGCCTCTTGGGGCCCTCTCGGGAGTGCTCTTGGAGGCCTCTTGGGGCGTCTGGGGGCCATCGTGGGCGTCTTGGAGCGATCTTGTGGCATCTCGGACCCCTCATGTAGCATCTTGGGGGCCTCTTGGAAGCCTCTTGGCCCTTCTTGGGGCTCTCGGGGACGTCTCGGAGCCGCGTTGGTGCGCTGCTGGAGCGCCCTGGTGACTCCTCCCGGGACTCTCTCGGGACCTTGCCGGGGTACTTTCCGCCCGGGGGCCCCGAGGGGCCGCCCCGCGCGCGCGAAGTAGAAAGATTGTAAAGCAGTCACCGGAGATCTTAGCACGCCTCTGGCCCGTTGGGCCGGCGAATTTCAAGTAACAATGCAAAAACAAACACACTTTCTGGGGCGGACGATTAGCATAATATTTTCGCGGGCCCTTAGCGCCACCGCACTAGCGGGGGGGGGGGGGCAGGCAGACGGATGGCGGACAATCCCAGGTTGTCTTGGGGGGGCGCGGGCTGACAATTCAGAGCGGGGGGGCGGGGAGTGCCGGGTAAGCAAAAGCTGGGAAGGACTTTGCGGGCTGACGATTCGAATCCGCAGGGGCGGAGAATTCGAGGCCGCGAGGGTTGATTTTGGCCGGCCCTGAATGGGAAGTAGGAAATTATGATCCGCCAGTCCTGCGCGGAAGCAGACATTCTGCGCCGCCTTCAGACGGCGACCTCCTTCCCCACCTCCTCTTCCTCTTATCCTCCCCCCCCTCCTCCTCCTTCTCCTTTCCCTCGATTTTCTATCCTTTGTAACCTTCTCCCTGCTAACTACTGTTCCTCTGCAGTTATTCAATATGAATACCATTCCCGGTTCTCTCCTAATGCGCCCCGGAAGATTGCCTGCACCCTTCCGCGTATTGTGTTGTTAGTTGCGCACAGGTTTGGCGCGAACCCGTTTCTCATGTTTGACTGGCCTCTGGCCAGTGCCGCCGATCCGAGGCGCTCCAGATGCTGGTGGTTGACACGACGACGACGACGACGACGACGGCGGCCTCGACGCCGACAACGGACGACTTACGACTAACGGGAGGAGGGATGCGGGAGGCGGGAGGAAGGATTGGGAGGAGGGAGGAATGAGGAGGGAGGAGGGAGGAGGGAGGAGGGAGGAGGGAGGGAGGAGGATGGGGAGGAGGGAGGAGGGAGGAGGGAGGAGGAGGAACAGCAGGAAAAGCAGGATAGGAGGGAGGAGGCTGATGAGAACGAGGATGAGGACGAGGACGAGGATGAGGACGATGATGATGATGTTGCTGCTGCTGATGTTGATGCTGATGCTGCTGCTGATGAAGATGCTGATGCTGGTGCTGATGCTGATGCTGATGCTGCTGATGATGATGATGATGGTGGTGCTGTTGATGATGATGATGATGATGCTGGTTTCGGAGGAGGAGAAGGAGGATGATGATGAGGAGGAGCAAGGAATAGCATAATGCTGATGATGCTGATGATGATGCTGATAATGATGATGTTGATGCTGATCATGATGAGGAGGATGATGATGAGGATGCTGAGGATTATGATGCTGCTCATAATGATGAGGATGAGGAGGAGGAGGAGCAATGGACAATCTAATGGTGATGATTATGATGATGAGTATGCTGATGCTGATGATGATGATTATGATGAGGAGGATGATGATGAGGCTGTTGAGGATGATGAGGATGATGAGGATGATGATGATGAGGAGGATGATGATGATGATGCTGCTGATGATGCTGCTGCTGATGATGATGAGGATGAGGAGGAGGAGCTGTGATGCCCACAACTAGATATGTTAGCTGTGGGGAAATTGTGGTTCGTAACTTGATCTTAGCTTGGCCATGTTAACTTGACATTCCATATCTTAATTTGATCTTCCAGACCTTGACTTGACCTGCCAGATCTCACATAACTTGAACGGTGCAAGTTGTGGAAGATACGGGAGTAAGTTTTTTGTTTTAAGCGGCCTCTTACAGCGTGTAAGTTTCGGTGAAGTTAGTTTCTGAAGTGGTTCTAAGTGTGGAAGTTGCGTTCTAGTATTTTTTGTTTTTAATACTTGTTCGAATTGTTGAAAAAAACGTGCGTTGCGAACACAGGTGTTCTAACTTTCTTTTTAGAAGAATGCGCCATGTCTGCCCCCCCATAGCGCTGTATTGCCTTTGTTTTGTTATCGAGCGCTTTGCGCTGCCAGCTTTTTCTGTGTCTTTGGCATTGTCCAGCGCTTTGCGCTGCTCCGCTTTGCGCTGCTCCGATCCCCCCAGCGCTTGCGCTGTTCCCCCACGAGCGCTTTTGGCGCTATCCAGCGCTTTGCGCTGCTCCTCCCCCCTCCAGCGCTCTGTGCTGCTCCCTCCCAGCGCTTGCGCTGTTCCCCCACCGGCGCTTGTGCTGCTCCTCCCCCCTCCAGCGCTTTGCGCTGCTCCTCCCCCCTCCTGCGCTTTGCACTGCCCCTCTCCCCTCCAGCGCCTGCGCTTTTCCCCCGCCAGCGCTTGCGTTGCTCCTCCCTCCTCCAGCGCTTCGCGCGGCTTCTCCCCCCTCCAGCGCCTTGCGCTGCCCCTCCCCCCATCCAGCGCTTGCGTTGTTCCCTCGCCAGCGTTTGCGCTGCCCCTCCCTCCTCCAGCGCTTTGCGCTGCTCCTCCAGCGTTTGGGCTGTTCCTCCACCACCCAGCGCTTGCGCTGCTCCTGCCGCATTCAGCGCCTCGCGCTGTTCCCGTCCGTAGCCGCTTCCTGGCTCAAGCGCGCGCGCTCCAACGCCGCGCGAAGGGCGCGGCGGCGTGGCCCTCCAGCGCCGCAGCGCTTGCGCTCCAGCGGCATGGCGCCGAAGGGATATCGCCGTCGCTCTCGATCGGGGCCCCGTCCTCCTCCTCCTCCTCCTCACTCTCCTCCTCCTCCTCCTCTTCCTCTTCCCCTTCCCAATCTCCCCCCCCCCCTCCCGGGGGTTCGTCGGGAGCGAGATGCGCTGTTAAAAAACTCTTCCATCGCGGACACGCGACGCAGGATGGGCTCGCGAAGTTGCTGAAGACGATTCGCGAGGTGGCGGCGGACTTGCCCGCCAATCTTAAGGTCACGAAGAATTAGATCAACCGGACGAACCATGAACGGTTCGAACGCGTCCGCCACGAGTTGAACGCGCCGCTGGCGAGCGGCGGAAGTTGGAACTGGCCCCTGGCAGAGACCAAAAGGCTACTCTCCATGATAGTATCAGAGAGCGGAGCTCTGCAATAATTGTTTGCGGCCGCGCTGCGGCGATGCGGTGCTCCGAACCAGGGGCGCCCGTGGACACTGGTTATCGGGTATGATGAGTTTAGCCCTGGCGGCGTGTTCAGCGTCGGTGACAGCAGGAAGAGCGTGAACTTATCGTTCACGCTCCTGGAGCTTAGGCTGCACAACCTTCGCAGTGTCATCGCGTGGTTCACACCTGTGGTTGTTCGCCACAGCTGGTTCAAGCAGGTCCAGGGCGGCTGGGGCGCCATGTTTGGCAAGTACCTGAAGTTGCGCCTGCTGTCTCCGACTGGCCTTGCGACGACGGGCGCCCCTATTGCTGTCTTCGGCGCGGACATTCTCACCTTCGCACGCATCGGGTTCATGATCGCCGATCTCGGTGGCCACCGCATGTCGTTGAACAGCAACGGTGCCAACGGCTTCAGGCCGTGCTTGCGACATTGCAACGTGCTCAAGAAAAACTCAGGCACGGCTGAGTCGGACCCGGCAAGCTTCGTTGAAATTTCCGATGTAGATCCGACGCGGTTTCGACTGCGCACTTGCGCAGATGTGTTCGTTGCTGCTGACTCTGCCAGCGCGGCGCACGCTCGGTGGACTGCAGGGGCAATGACAACGGACCGCTTCGAGAAACTGCAAATGACGTGCGGGCACATGTTCGCGCCTCGCGGCGTCCCACTTGACCCTGGATTGCGCCGCCGCGTGGACGTAGTGGACAGCGCTGTCATCGATCGGGTCCACGCGGCATTGCGAGATGGAGCATGCGCCGCAGAAGCTGTCTTGCTGGCGCAGGCGCGCAGGGACGAGCTGGGCGTCAAATTCGAGGCTCTCTGGGAGTACATGGAGGACGGGTTGCTGTTCTTTGCATGCGGGAGAGCGAAGTCGATAGAGTTGCACAAGATATCCGACGAGCGCCGTTCCCCGAAGGAGGACGGGAAACGTGCCTCTGCGTCAGAGCCCCTTGGCATGCATGCGCGTCTCAGGCTAACTGCTCTTCCTCCTCCTCCCTTCTCCTCCTCCCCCCTCCTCCCCCTCCCCCTCCTCCTCCTCCTCCTCCTCCTCCTCCTCCTCCTCCTCCTCTTCCCCTCCTCCTCCTCCTCCATCCTCCTCTCTTCTCCTCCTTCCCCCCCCTTCCTCCTAGGCATTTCGTGGAGCTGCGCCTTCTCGACGTGGCGCTCGACAAGCAGGCGGCCTCGTTCCGAGCTGCGCGCGCGACGCTGGACTTGACGTGCGCGGCAGCGCAGGGGCGCACTGGCTCGCGCGAAGGGGCGGCGCAGTTGCGGCGAGCCCACGCCGAGCACCTTCGACTGCATAGAGAGGCGCACGGCACAGCGGACGCCGTGCCGAAGCACCACGTGATGTTTGACGCGGCCGACCAGTGGGGACGCGTGATAGATGCATTTGTGGTCGAGCGGTTGCGCGTCGGGATGAAGTATAACATGGGCCCGATCGAGAACGCCAGGAATTTTGAAGTGTCACGCTTGGCGTCTTTGATTAATGTTCACCTGATGGCCTCGGAGGACCGCGTGTTCGGCGATGGCCTCCTGAGGGAGACGTCGTTTCTTGATGGGGCGCGGGTGCCAATGGCAGATCGAATGTCTGTATCTGGCCTTGCCATCTAGGTTGGTGACATCGTTCTGCTCGAAGGAGTTGCTAGCAGAGTGCGCGTTTGCGCCGTTGACGATGGCAATCACCTGGCATTGGTGGGGACGTTCGAGCGCGCTGTCAGGCTGCCAGCGCGTTCCGGCCGATGGAAGGTTGGATGCGCCATCCAGGCGTGGCGCGCGGGCGCCGCGCTTTCGGTGCCTGCGCGGTGCATGCGCGGCGATGGCGTCGCAGCGTTGCGATTGGCATGGCGCCGTGCGCGGAAAAAGGCCCCCCCCATGCTGCCATCTTAGCGCTGTGCGCTCCATCCCGCCCTCGCGCTGTCGATCGATCTCGCTGTTGTTCCCGCCTTTTTCCAAGCGCGAGCGCTCTTCCCCCCCTTCCCCCTCGTCGGCTAATGCAGCCTGCCCGCCGCCCTTCATAGCGCATGCGCTGCCGCGACCATTTGAATACTCTGACCCTTGATGTTTCGGCATCAGCACGGGGAACCCAGGGCTCGCAACTTCGGGCCAAGGGGCCCGCGGGGGCAGGAGGGGGATGTTTAGGGGGGGGACGAGGAGGAAGAGGGGTGTTTAGGCATGGCGCATGCGCTCGAGCTCGGGCCGCCCACGCAGCGCTTGCCGCTCAATCCGATTCAATCCGAATCGCCGGCTCCGCCTCCGACGACGCAGGGGCGTTGGCAGCGCCCCCGAAAGCGGCAACCGCGCGGTTCGTCTCAAGGAGATCCGACCCCGCCGGCTCGAACACCGACGCTGCTGTCTCCATCTTCTGACTGCGCTCTCCTGGACCTGGCGACGGAGGTCCACGTGATCCTCGGGGCCCCACTCGCGCATGACGTCCTGCATCTTGACCAGACACGTATGCGCGGAGCGCAAGTAGCCCGCTGTCATGAAGGTCATCTCGCCGTCGCCTGTGCCGCTCTCAGGGAGCTCGGACCCGCCGCCGCGGCTTCGGCTGCGACTCCTGCTGCCCGCCTTCGGGTCCTCGTTTTTGGCGGATGCCGTCGTCGAGGAGGCCGCCGAGCCACGGAGGTGGCCAGAACGACGAGGTCAGAGCCAAGCCGGCCACGGTCACCACCCTCGGCGAAGGTCACCCCTCGCGCCCCTATCCAAACTCGAACCGCGATGCAAACGATGGGAAACGGGCGATGGGGCCCGCAGCGCGCCAAACAGCGTGCTTGCGAAGATTGCTTTCGTCGGCGTGAGCGCTCGTAGGTGAGCAGCGCAGAAGCAGCGCAAAGCGCTGGAGGGGGGCGGTGATCAACGGGGCGTTTTGCGTTGCGATTGACACATGGGTGGGCGCACATACATGCATGCATACATACATCCATACATGCATGCCCATATACAAATAGATACATATATATATATATATATATATATAACATGCGCTTGATTGCTCAGCGCGCGCGCTTGAACGTTTTCCTGCTTCCCCCATGCAGCGCTTAAGCGCTTGAACGTGCTTCCGAGGGCTCGTTTGTAGTTCGCCCAATATCATGCCCGCGCGGCTCGGCAAACCATCCCAGCAGCCCGTTAATACCCGCAGACTGGAGCAGCTTGCCCGATTGCATCAAGTGGCCCACTGCTGCAGCTGCCTGAACTGCGCGTTCAGGAGGGCCACGAGCTTCTTTGTCCTGTTCCCAAGGCTCACTGCATCCCCGGATGGAGCGCCATGCCCATCCCATCCTGATGCACCCTGGCCCCCCCCTTATCCTCCCGTCTAGGGGAGGAAGGGGGGGGTGGGGGGGATGCAGGGGCGAAGATTGCACTTGCGCCTAGGTCCTCGGGCTCAGGCGTGTCGCCCTTGCGGCAGCTTCGCCCTTGGCGCCTTGCTCTGCATGGCCTCGACTTCGTTTTTCTTGTCTCCGGCATGACTTACGAGCCACTGGGCCAGCCTCCTGCTCGCAGGGTTTGCGAGCACATCCTGCAGCGACTTCAGCGCTGGGCCCAGCTTGGCGTAGAGTTTCTCGCATTATGTATTCCTTTTCTTGAGCTCTTTCTCCTCTTGTTTGGCCTCCTCCGTTTTCGCCTTTTCCCTTCTGGCCTTATGTGTCGTCTCCTTATGTGCCTTCTTCGTCTTAATTTTTCTTATTCTTGGCCTTCTTACTTTTCTCGTCCGAATGCGATGGGGAAGGGCTCGAGCTCGAATCGTCATCTTTATTCCCGTCCTTCTCCTCAGGCTCTTCTGACGCTTCTGGCGTTTCTGGCTCTTCTGGCTTTTCGGGAATATTGGCGAGCGGCATGAACCCCTTTGCCCGGCCGACAGCTCGCCCCTCGGCGCAGGATTCCCCCATCTGCCCCCTTTGCCCGCGCTCGCCTGCGGTCGTCAGGCGAAGCCTGTAGCAAAGTCCGAGGACGTCGTGGTGCTGCTTATCAGACCCCCTTGATTTCGCCTGGGTGGCATCCGCGTCGCAGCCCCGCTGCTTCCAATAGCCCAGCGGCTGAAACGTGCCACCGTTCTCGAAGTACTCTTCGGTCACCTCGAACTTCGAGATGAACGCTTGAGCAGCAGTTTTTACTTCCGCCTGAGCCCCCCCCCAGCCACGTCTTGGAACAACTGCGTCGCATGGGGCGAATTGTCGTTGAGGCATGCCGGGCTCTTCCCAAAGGCCCGGCTAAGCTTCGCTCTTGTGATGTTGCGCAGGTTGCATTTGAACGCGCCTTGCCCTTTGCTCCTGATGGCGCCCTTGCTGCTTCGCGCTGGGGAATCGCATTTCTGCCAAAGCATAATTGTAGTCTTGCTGTATTCGTCATGTGTTGGCCAAAGTGCGACCTCGATGTTTTTGTTGTTCTTGCCCTTGCCCTTGCCCTTGCCCTCCGGCGCGCAGGGTTCCGTAGCCGCGGGTATAATTTCTGTATCGGTCGCATCGTTGCCTGTCCTTGTGCTTGCCTTTGCCTGTGCCGCCGCGGCCCTTGCCCTTGCCCTTGCCCTTGCCGTTGTCGCCTGCATCTCCAGGCTCCGCGGGCTTCGCTGGCTCCGCGGGCTCCGCGGGTTTTCAAACGCACAATGCTGAGCAGTCGCCTCCTCGTCTGATGACGAGCAGCCCAGCGTGCGGTCGCCAAGGGGCCTCCCTCCCCTCTGTGGCAAGTCGTGGGCGTCCAGCTTGCGCTGCGGGCACTGCGCCTCCTCGAGCGTCGCGGAGCTTCCAGCCTCCTGGTATTTCTCGATGCAGTACTTGTGGAACTTGTGAGCGCATCCAAGATATATGCTCTCGTCGGCGGCGCCCTCGAAGCCCGCCTGCAGATCGCGCAGAGATTGTCTGCCATGGCTGAGAGCGCGCCGCGCTACCCCAAAGCTGCCAGTAGCGGCCATTGAGCCGACGCGGCTGCAGCGACAGCGCATTGCGCTCACCCTCATTGAGCGCATCGCGCTGCATCCCAATATAACTCTTAGAGCGCATTGCGCTGCCTTTAGAGCGCATTGCGCTGTGTTCTCTCGGGGGGGCATTTTTCCAGCGACAAGAGAGCCATGTGGATCGTGCTGCCAACCCGCGCGGGCTGTGCCCTGAGTTCGCCGCGGGCTTCCTCTAGGCCAGTAGAGTTTCAGTCCAGCAGGCCAAGGGCTTTCTCTGGGCAGTGGCCCAAATTTGTGTGACCGAATACTGCCTATCCAAACCGGCTGCACCATATGCGCACATTAGGTTGACTGGAATGATCGCCGAGCATCGAGAATACGCTATAGCAAATGGGCTCGCTGTCGTAGAACAGCTTGCACTGGCAACCGTTCATGAATAAATCGTTCTTGTGCTCCGCCCGCGTCTTCGGCGACTCCACAGGATGGAACTTCTGATTGCGCATCGTGTGCATGTGCGTGTAGGTCTTCGTCGTCGGCTTCCACGGCGCACCGCCTTCTCTCAAAGGCTTCTCGACGAGTGAAATGCAGATCTCGCGGTTCAAATGCGCGTGGCCAAGTTTGAACGTCTCCGTTGAAGAGATCCCCCAATGCTCGGACTCGGAGCAATCGGAGCAGTAATCCGAAGGCGGCGTCCGCCACCTGGCCGTCGATGCTTCCCAAACCTTCTGCAGCAAAGAGCACCCCGCGTTCGACCAGATGTCCAACTCCATGGGCGCAATGCTTGAGGGCAGCCACTGAGACGCCCTGTCGCAGCAGCTGAGAGCGCGCTGCGCTATCCTAATGCCGCAAGTAGCGGCCATTGAGCCGACGCGGCTGCAGCGACAGTGCATTGCTCTCACCCTCGCTAAGCGCATTGCGTTGCATCTCCATATACCTACAGACTCTTGCAGCGCATTGCGCTGCCTTTAGAGCGCATTGCGCTGCATTCTCATTGGTTTGCCTTTAACGCGCATTGCGCTGTATTCTCATTGGTTGATTTTCATGCATCACACCTGCATGCATCGACGATCTCGATGGGGGTTTGCAATTTCCGCACCCGTGCTTTCCAGGCACTCTTGAGTGCGCCAAACGTATTGTTTTCTTATTCGCCTGGCTGGTGTGCGCTTTCGTGTCTTCTGTCTGCAGTTTCAGGCGCGTCGACAGCATGCGCTTCGCACCCCCCGATGGCGCCCTCGCCCCCAAGGCCGCCGCGCGGTTGAAGAGGGCCTCCCTGACTTCTAGCGGCCGCCCCCGCTGGTTCGACATGGCGCCCCACTCGGCCTCTGTCAAGTAGCCGAACACCGCCCTGGCATCCTGCGTCGGATTCCGTTTCTTCTTATCCTCCATATTGGCGGCGGCGTCTGGTGACTCTAGCACTGCGACCGCATCGCTTGCAGCGAAGCCCGCCTGCGCTGCTAGAGCCCGACGCCTCAGTCGAACTCAGGGCGGCCGTCGCCGAGCTCGCAGGCGATCTGAACGCGTTCGCCTGGGCCTCAGAAGCGGCGGCGCGCGAACTCGCTGGGGGCCGTTGCAGCGGCAGCTTTGCCGCCCCAGGGCGGGCCCGCAGATCCTTGTTCAGATCCCCCGTGGCCTCGCGGCCCACGGCCTGGCTCTGCGGGCCGCGGGCGCCGCCCAAAACGGGCAGCGCGGCAGCGCGTGCGCGCTCGAGCAAAAACGGCGGCAG